GAGGGTCCCCAAACTCATACAGTGTCAGCTGGAGTACCCCAAGGCTCAGTGCTGGGGCCTCTCCTATGGAACATCATGTACGACGGCGTACTGCGCTTGGAACTACCAGCAGGCGCGCACACCATTGGCTTTGCTGATGATGTAGCTGTCGTAGCCATAGGAAAGGAGCTCAAAGATACAGAGGATATGTGCAGCGAAAGTATCAATCGCATACGAAGCTGGTTGACAGGAGCTGGGCTCGAGCTAGCGGCACACAAGACCGAAGTGGTACTAGTCAGCAGTCGCAAAAGAGTGGAAACTGCCAATATAAAGATCGGCAGCGTCACCATTGCGTCAAAGAGGGCGATAAGATATCTTGGTGTCATGATAGACACAAGATTAACTTTCCGCGAGCACTTAGAATATGTGCATAAAAAGGCAGCTGATTCTTGTAGAGCTCTCTCGAGAATCATGCTTAACACGCGGGGACCTAAACAGCAACGACGTCTCCTCCTAATGAGCGTCATTAGGTCTGTCATCCTCTATGCTGCGCCAATATGGGCAAGAGCGATGGCAACGCCGAGCTACAGCCGAGGCATTTGCGCGATCTACAGGCTGAGCGCAATCAGAGTCAGCTGCGCTTTCAGGACTATCTCCGATGACGCGGCGCTCGTCATAGCCGGTATGGTGCCACTGGAGTATTTGGTCGCCGAAGCCGTGGAGCGGAATTCGCACGGGCCTACGCGACTCAACGCTGTCAGGGCGAACAGCATCGCACGATGGCAAAGAAGGTGGAATAGCTCAGCTAAAGGGCGGTGGACGCACAAGCTCATCCCGGAGCTTGAACCATGGGTTAACCGCAAACATGGCGAGGTTAACTTCTACCTTACGCAGATCCTCTCGGGTCATGGATGCTTTCGGAGCTATTTGAAGCGCTTTGGCCACGAGGAATCTGACGAGTGCCCCTGGTGCGAGCGAGGACATGTGGAAGACGCCAACCACATTCTTTTCGAATGTGGACGGTTCCTGGAGGAGAGGCGTCGTCTGGAAGAGGCAGTGGGCCGCTCCATCAGAGCGGACAACTTAGTCAACGCCATGCTGGAATCGGAGGAAGCTTGGGAACTAACAAGCACCTTCGCGGCCACAGTGATGATGGAGCTCCGCAGAGTCGAGCGACTGAGAAGACGAGCTGTCCCAGGCTAAGGTAGCGCATAGTGCTTGCGAAGCAATGCTTTACGGCCGTCCCGCAAGCACCGCGCGCTATCCTAGCCACCACACAACTTGCAATTTTTTATTTTGTCAATAAATGAATATAAAAAAACATACACAAACAATTACATACATATACACACACAAGCATAAACACGCATGGGCGGCAGTGAGCGCTTACTATGAGAACTTAATTGCTTAATAACTTTTTTGTGGACATACGATCTTCATGAAACTTTCAGATTATGATTATGACATGGATATGCATGTAATTGCCAAAGCACAAGTCTCTAGTATTTGAAATACGCTTTTTACAAAAGTGAGGGTGAGGGGGTGAATTTAAGGGTGAGGGTAAATTTTAACAAAAACCGAAATTGTATAAATTGCATATAAGCATACATTAAAAATTTGGAGACTCTAGCAATAAAGGTGTAGAAGATATAATTTTATAACTGGTTTTCGATAAGGTTTTTTATCGATAAAAAAGATCGGGATGAGTTATCGATTTTTAATGATAAACTTGATATGCGCGCTGTAATTACGAACATTTTAAAAAAAATTTGAAGTCTCTAGCTCTTATATCTTCTGAAATCGACGCGTTCATACATACGGACAGACGGACAGACGGACGGACGGACAGACGGACAGACGGACAGACAGACGGACAGGGCCAAATCAACTCAGCTCGTCGCCCTGATCAAGAATATATATACTTTGTGGGGTCTGCCACGCCTCCTTCTGCCTGTTACATACATTTCAACAAAACCATTATACCCTGATTTCCCATTGAAAATGGGTTCAGGGTATAAAAATAAAATATCAACTCAGTGTAGCAAGCTTGCAGCTGCGCAAAGCAATTTGAAACGACAAGATAAGGAAAACAAGTAAGAACGTTGCAGTCGGGCGTTACCGACTGCGGAATACTCATTCACATCCCATCAACAATTTAGTAGTTAAGTTTCGCTCTAATACTGTAGAATATACAGGCTTTTCCGATTTGCCACGACCCTACTGGGCGTAAACACCTCATTTTTGGTCAGTTTCTAGAACGAGATAACAGTACCCTAACTGCAAAGTTTGAATGCTTACTCTCAAAAAAAGTGAAAATTACAGGGTATTTTTCGATATGCCACGCCCCTAAAGAGGCGTAAAAATTATTTTTTGAGGCATCGATAGAGGAGGCTACCAGTAACTCAACTATCTAAATTTGAAGCTTCTAGCTATTATACTTTAGGAGATATACATTTTTGCGGTTTGCCACGCCCACTGTGGGCGGACATATATCCGACAAAACTTTTTGGTCTTGGGTGATCAGCCCGAGTATATATACAAAATTTGAGATCTCTGGCATCAATAGTGTCCAAAAAATAGCAGAATTTGAAAAATCACTATATCTTCAGGTCCGATTTGCCACGCCCCTAATGGGTGTAGACTTATAATTTTATTTTTAGACTTTATAGAATCATAACATTAGCTGACATGCAAAATTTCAGCATTCTAGGTTTACAACTTTAGGAGATACAGTTTTATCAGATTTGCCACGCCCCCAATGGGCGGAAATATATCCGCCATAGCTTGTGATCTTGGGTTGTCGACGCGGACCTACATACCAAATTTCAGCTTTCTAGCTCTTCAACTTATATGATTTCTGGTATATCGGAAAATGCATTTTCCGATTTGCCACGCCCCTAGTAGGCGGATCGGGAAAATTTTAACACTTTATAAATCGGAGATATGCTCCAAATTTCAAGTCTCTAGCTTCAATAGCGCCGAAATAGATTGCGTTTATACGGACAGACGGACAGACGGACGGACGGACAGACGGACAGACGGACGGACAGCAAGACGGACATTGCACAAAACCAATATACTGATTCACTTTCGTCAATGAGTTAATAAAGTAAACAGTAAAACACAAGCGCGCTACAATCCATATAAAATATAATATTTATTTCTCTTTTATAACCCTTACACTAAAAATATTTTTTACATATTCAAATATTTTTAAATATTACCTTTCATTCACAAACACATCCGCTTATACTAACAAAATACTAACTAATTATGGCCAATCCAAATAACCTAATACGACCAGCAGTACTTAATGCAGTGAACATGGACGAACTACCAACTTCTGCGCCAATTATCACCAATAACGACGAACCAAAGACAGCAGCTGGGAACAACAAGTAGACAGGCCATGCACCAATATAATAGAAATGGGGAAACAAATTCTATCGAAAACCATATCGACCGAATTATTAATGACAGATTGACGACAATATTAAACAACATGAGCGTAAATATCAATACTAGCGATTTTGCTGAGGCAGCCGCCTATAGTATAGACCCCGACTCTAGAGGCAACATTACTGACTTAGATCGCGTCCCGGACATAGTAAAAGGTATGAGGGAATTCTCAGGGGATCCAGTTGAGTTTAGCTCCTGGAAAAAGGAGTAGGATACTAGAGGCCTACTCTAGTATCAAAGGATCACCAATATACTTTGGTATTCTACAAACGATCCGTAGTAAGATAACGCACCACGCAGACCACGTATTGGACTCCTACAATATGCCCCTGAACTGGGAGGCACTTGCTCGATGCCTTACTCTGCACTTTGCGGATAAACGAGACCTAAGTACACTTGAATACCAACAACTACTATGACACAAAATGGACAACAGACAGTTGAAGAATTTTATCAGAATATTTACAAACACCTATCTTTGATCCTTAATAAGGTTAGCTGTATGAATTTAGACAGGCAAACCGAGGTAGTTATGACAAAATCCTGTAGGGATAGAGCATTAGATACGTTTGTAAGAGGACTGTTGGGCTCAGCAATCATCGCTTCATTGTAATTAAGAGCGGCAGTTCATAGAATATGTTATCATGTAAGAGAATTTGTAACGGAGATCACGCTCTCCCTTTTGCGTTGTCTCTTTCACCCACGCACCGGCTCAGCTTAATCCGCCGGCTCGCGTACATTGTAATTAGTATGCAATTAACTCTTGTTTAGAGCAGATGCAGTGTTAGATTGACTATTACAAACATAGTAGCGGACAGCACGACAGACTAGTCGCTTGCTCGCGTCTATCACATAAACTCTGTAAACTCTAATAATCGCTAATAAACTAATCACTAAGTAAATTCAATCGTTTAATAATTTAAAGCTATTCGAAAAATCTCGATAGCACAACATTTGGTGACCCCGACGTGATATTTTCGTTTCTTTCTACATATTTGCATATATATATTGACAGCATCACATACATACATACACCCGTGAATATAAGCAGTGTATATAGCGATTAGTTGCGTGCCGTTACTTTGCCAATTCGCCAGACACTCTTTCGTTCGGTCTGCAATACACTGGCGCCCGTAAAAGTAGTACACATGCGAAAACTTCTGCAAATGACAATCTAATAAAGAATCAGCTAATTTCTGAACTATGTCTATGGTTAGTGACTGCGTGTTCTATAGCTTCAATCTATAAGTGATTAAGTTTGCATAAGCACAGTGTAATTACATGCTTGCCGTTATTCTTCGTTGACATTGCACTTTTTCGCCACGGCTGCGATACGAGCGCGTCCATAATAATCGTACCGGTGTGCAACAATTCATACGTGTATATTATTTGAGTACCATAATATAATTCTTTGCCAGTTTATTAAAGTTGCAAGTACTCTGCTCGACAAATACGACTTATTCCAAGTTTGTGTCTGCGCTATATATACATTTACTTACTCTTGCAATCGCGCTCGCACCAACGACTTTGAGCTCTATCGTGTTGCTCTTGCTGTACTCGTCATGGCGAATTTAGATGCTAGTGCAGTTGCTCCCGAAGATCGCGTGCGGTTTTATAAGCTCAAGGTACAGTCGGTGTTTGAACGCGTAAAAAAGCTACAATCCAAGGTCGATTCAGATGCTCTTGCCGATCACAGTGACAGCACTCTAAATGTTCTACTGGAGCATATCGACAAGCTAAGCCACTCCTTTAGCAAGGCCCATGAAAGTCTAGAGGAGCTCGACTTTACTGAGATGTCCAGCAATTTGCGCACTGACTTTGATGATTTAATAATGGTCATGCAGTCAACAATAATGTCCGAAGTGCAAAGTCGTACTGCTCAAGTGCATCATAGTTCCACGTTTAGTCGTCCAAGTGACCCTCCTCGCGCATCCGCTCCCAGATTGCAGGCTGCACCTGCGTTGCCGCCATTAAAGTTACCTACGTTCAGCGGTGGATATGCTAATTGGGCTGATTTCTACTCAATGTTTTCTACAATCATTGAAAGTCGGCCAGAAATCAGCAATATGGAAAGACTTCAGCACCTCCGGTCCTGCCTCGATGGCGCAGCGTTGGATACGGTTCGCTCTTTGGAAATTTCTAATGATAATTATACAATTGCCATAAATTTATTAAAGCAGAGATATGATAACCGCCGTTTAATCTTCCAGGCCCACATCGTAAAGATCTTAGGTCTCAAAAGAGTAGAAAACGGATCCATAACCAAGCTGCGTGAGCTATCTGACAGCTTCAATGTCCATATGCGTGCGCTCAGTAGTCTGGGCACAACAGAGCAGATAGCCAGTGCCATGATTGCTCAGATACTGCTACAGAAGCTTGATGAGGCCTCACAAGCTAAATGGGAAGAGAAATTGGACAACTCAGAGACGGCTCTTCAGATACCCAGATATGAAGAAGTCTCCTCATTTCTTGAGCTTCGTTGCCGTACTTTGGAATCGATGAAATTTGCTCTTACAAACTATTCGTCAAGTAAGCCGATGAATTCTTGCAGTAAGGTTGCTACCAGTAGATCAGCATTTCTCGTAACCGGCCACAGTACTCACAGTTGCAATTTTTGTAATGATCTTGAGCACACAATCTACAAATGCCCAAGATTCGCAAACTTGTCTCCTAGTCTTCGCCTGAATGAGGTCCGAAAGGCTGGCTTATGTTTGAATTGTCTCAAGGGAGGTCATCAGTCGCGACAATGTGGCTCGCGCAGTTGTCGGGTCTGTGGAGTCAAGCATCATACGCTTCTTCATCTCGGCCACTCCAGCACATCGCAGGCAGCAATTCCGCCCCATCAACAATCTTCAACATCAAGAGTACAGACCATCCCTCAGCCCTCAGCACCAGCCACTACTCTCTTATCCAAGGATCAGCACAGCGATGTTGTGCTCCTGGCTACCGCAGTGGTTCTGGCAAGGAATCGGTTTGGCGAGCTTGTTCCTTGCCGTGCGCTTTTAGATTCAGGCTCTCAACTACATCTCATTACAGCCAGATTTGCGAATCTCCTGCAACTTAAGAGAACAAAATCGGTGGCATCTGTATGCGGCGTAGGCAACTCCAATGTTGCCATGGATGGCAGCAGCATTTGCCTCACTCTTCAAGCTCATGCATCTGAATATACAACTAGCATAACGGCTATGGTAGCTACAAATATAACTGGCAGGCAGCCTAGTTCTAATGTGAATACGAGCAATTGGAGCATACCGCAAAATATAGTGCTGGCAGATCCAGCTTTCCATAGGCCGCAACGAGTAGATCTGCTTATCGGAGCTAGCCTGTTTTATGATTTGCTCTGTGTGGGACAAATCAAGTTGATGCCTGGACTTCCATTGTTACAGAAGACTCGTCTTGGTTGGGTTGTATCAGGTGGCGAGGCTCGCAACCACAACTCCGTGCTAATAGCTTCAAAGACGCCTTTGGATCCGATTACAGACTCCTGTGCTGATATCAAGTTGGACAGTCTCGTTCGTCGCTTTTGGGAAGTTGAGCGCTGCAGCGATTCCATTGTAAGGTTCAGCAAGGAAGACTCAGACTGCGAAGCGCATTTTGCGAGGCATTACAATCGATTGGCTAGTGGCCAATATACAGTACGCCTGCCTGTTAAGCTTAGTTGCGAGCTTCTTGGAGATTCTTATGAGCAAGCGCGACATCGGTTTCTCAATTTGGAGAAGAAATTGAGTCGTTTGCCGCATATAAAGTCTCAATACTCAGCATTTCTGAAAGAGTATCTTGAACTTGGTCACATGTCACGCGTTCCTCTAAATTCATTCCATCTATGCAGATATTTTCTTCCTCATCACTGCGTTCTGAAGGATGATAGCACAACTACCAAGCTTCGCGTCGTCTTTGATGGATCTGCATCTACAACAACTGGGCATTCGTTGAATGACATTCTAATGTCAGGTCCCGTCATTCAGCCAAAATTAGTCGACATATTATTGCGCTTCCGATCTTATCCAGTTGCACTCACCGGCGATATTTGCAAAATGTATCGTTGCGTGAAAGTACCTGAGCCGGACAGCTATCTACAATGCATTTTATGGAGGAATTCGCCAGATGATGAGTTGGAAGTTTTCAGGCTTGATACGGTAACATATGGAACAAAACCAGCGTCATTTTTGTCTGTGCGCGCCATGCATCAGCTTGCCGTAGATGAAAGGAACGCATTCCCAGTCGGGTCCGACGTACTGCTTCGCGATTTCTATGTTGATGATTTGATTAGTGGAGGAAATTCAGTCGAAGAAGCAAGACTTGTTATGCAAGAGACAGCTGGAATCTTGGCATGTGGGAAGTTTAAATTGAGGAAGTGGTGTTCAAGCCATCCCATGGTGCTGGACGGCGTAACAGACTGCGACAAGGAATCGCTCATTAGGTTCAATGATGGCAGCGACATTACAAAGACACTTGGCCTTGCATGGGATCCGGCATCTGATCAACTTCTTTTCTCATATCTAGCCCTGAATTCAGCCTCTAAGCCCTCCAGGCGCTCTGTTCTCTCGTCTATTGCTAGGTTTTATGATCCCCTCGGCCTGGTCGGCTCAGTAATAACGAAAGCTAAAATCTTCTTGCAACAACTCTGGAGGCATAAACTTGATTGGGATGAGAGTCTCCTGTCTGCATGTCACACTGCATGGCTAGACATTTGCAGCAACTTTGGCAATGGTCTTAGTAGTGCATTTCCCAGGCTATCATTAATACCAGGATCGAAGGTTGAGGTCCATGGATTCTGCGATGCCAGCATCGAGGCATACGGAGCTTGCATTTATATTGTATCCAGAGGTCAGCATACCATCAGCAGGTTGCTTTGCTCTAAGTCTCGAGTTGCGCCTCTAAAAACGCTCACGGTTCCCAAGCTGGAACTATGCGGGGCAGAGTTGCTTGCGCGTCTAATGAATGAAGTGGCTCGCTTAGGCATTTTCGCAGGCGAGTTTCATTGTTGGTCTGACTCTACTGTTGCGCTTTCTTGGATCAATGACGAGCCCGGACGATTTAACGTTTTTGTTTCAAATCGCATCGCCACGATACAAGATCTCACATCAGCAATGGAATGGCACTATATACCTACAACACTGAATCCCGCGGATATATTATCTCGGGGTGCATTGCCCTCGGATTTAAATGCCTCATTACATTGGTTCAACGGTCCAGGTTTCCTCTGTAAGCCCAGATCTCAGTGGCCAGTCTCAGCACTTCCAGAAAGAACTTCAATTGAGCGTCGAAGAACTGTGCTTCTTGTAAAGGACGCAGTCCATGATGTCTCTATGGACTGCAAGTTTGTGAATTCTTTCGGCCGCTTGCAGCGTACGTTTGCATACGTATCAAAGTTTATTAAAAAAAGTCATGGTCCAGGAATAACCCTAGCAGACATCCGGAACGGCACTCATATACTGTTAAGAATGATTCAACGAACACATCTCTCAGACGACATAAATGCTCTTCGAAATAAAGGAATGGTTCCGTCATCCAGCAGTCTAGCCTCGCTGTCACCGTTCCTTGATGAGATTGGGCTGCTACGTGTCGATGGTCGTCTCAAAAACTCAACTTTAAATTTCGATAGTCGCCATCCAATTATTTTGCCCAAAGTTCATCCAGTAACTAGAGCCATCATAATGCATTTCCATCAGCGAAACTTGCACGCTGGTCCCCGAGCAGTGCTAGCGTTGGTTCGTTCCCAATATTGGCCAATTGGAGGTAGAAAAACTGTAGCCAGTGTAATTCAGAGATGCGTAATTTGCTTTCGTGCAAGGCCCCGACTCGTTGAACACATAATGGCAGATCTACCCAAGGATCGAGTCGACGGCTATCGGGTCTTTGGAGTGACTGGAGTCGACTTTTGCGGACCCTTCTTTTACAAGCCTGAGTCACGAAACAAGGCGCCTGTGAAATGCTACGTTTGTGTGTTTATTTGTTTTGCTACGAAGGCTATTTGGTTGGAGTTAGTCAAGGATTTAACTACCGCGGCATTTTTGCATGCACTTCAACGTTTCATATGCACCAGAGGAAAGCCAAGTCAAATCTGGTCGGATAACGCCACAAACTTTCTTGGTGCCCGCAATCAGCTTCAGGAGTTGAAGCGTCTATTTCTGTCAGACACCCACCAGAAGGCTGTGAAGGATTTCTGTTTGGCAGACTCAATCGAATGGCATTTCATCCCTCCACGATCACCTCACTTTGGTGGCTTGTGGGAGGCTGCAGTGAAGACAGCGAAGCATCATTTTTACCGATGTGTTGGGTCCTCCGTCCTAACTTACGATGAGCTTCGCACACTGGTTTGCAACATCGCTGCTGTCGTTAATTCACGCCCTTTAGTTTCGATTTCAGAGCACCCATCAGACATAGACGTGTTGACTCCTGCGCATTTTATCAACGGTGGCCCTCCTTCGTCCTTCAGTGAGCCAAACCTGACAGGGCTCAATTTTAATCGTTTGGATGCTTGGCAGCGCGTAAGCTATCTCCAGCAGGTGTTCTGGACTCGTTGGCGGGACGAATATCTCAACTTGTTACAACAGCGAGCGAAATGGAGAACTTCCAAACCTGGCTTGGCTGTTGGCAACATAGTTCTTGTGAAGGATGAGAATCTACCTTCACTTAAGTGGCCACTAGCCAGAATAATCGAACTTATCCCTGGAAGTGATGGCGTTGCACGGGTAGCCCTACTAAAAACAGAAGCTGGCGAGATAAGAAGAGCTACAAATAAGCTGTGCTTGCTGCCCCTTAAGGATTCTGTTGAAGACTAAGTCTTCAACGGGGGGAGGATGTTGGGCTCAGCAATCATCGCTTCATTGTAATTAAGAGCGGCAGTTCATAGAATATGTTATCATGTAAGAGAATTTGTAACGGAGATCACGCTCTCCCTTTTGCGTTGTCTCTTTCACCCACGCACCGGCTCAGCTTAATCCGCCGGCTCGCGTACATTGTAATTAGTATGCAATTAACTCTTGTTTAGAGCAGATGCAGTGTTAGATTGACTATTACAAACATAGTAGCGGACAGCACGACAGACTAGTCGCTTGCTCGCGTCTATCACATAAACTCTGTAAACTCTAATAATCGCTAATAAACTAATCACTAAGTAAATTCAATCGTTTAATAATTTAAAGCTATTCGAAAAATCTCGATAGCTCAACAAGGACTACGTGGCGATTTACCACGCCTTCTCAGCATCAGGGAACCAACTGACTTGCCGCAAGCGTTGCATTTGTGCCTAAAGTTAAAAAACCAAACCTATAGGACAACTTATGCAAACAACAGCCAGCAAAACATGAAATTCAGAAACATATACCAGAATCCAATTCCGGCACCTCGTAGGTCCATACCAACTCCATCAAACAAGCCAACTTATAGACTTCTGATATATCTTCCATATCAGAATCCACCTCCAATTCCTCCACGGAGACCAGTACCACAACCTAGACCATTCTACAGTTATAACCAGGTACAGCCCAGTCAATTTCAAAGACCACCAAACCAATTTGGCTATCAACCACAATACTGGTCACAACCAAACCAACCCAATCAATATCGACAGACCCAACCAATAGCCCCACCTCGTCCGACTGCTGCCAAGCCAGCAGAACCAATGGACGTTGATCGTAGTATGCAAACGAAGATGGTCAACTATATGAACAGACCCCAGTTTGAGAGCGGCAAAAGGCCACCATTCCCCGTAAACCAAGATGGGAAAAGACAAAGACTCTTTAACACTGAGGGAGTAGAATGCCAGGAACAAAACGAACAAAGTTATGCTGAGGCATACGCCACCATGACGGACTATGAAAAGTACGAGCAAGAAATGACTGAAGCTAATAACCAGGAGGGATACGACATGAGCTTGACAGAATATATGGAGCAAGCAAACGCAAACAACGAACCAGAAACCATACAATACCCCGATACAGATTTGAATTTTTTAGAATGAGTGGGGGGTCACGAAACTTTCAAAATTCTTATCGATACTGGCTCAAACAGAAATTACATACAACCAAGACACGTAACAAATCCAAAGCCAAACGAAACACCTTTTAAAGCAATAACTGTAGGAGGTAGCATCGAAATAACACACCATAAACTTGCAAATTTATTTAACCATCCAGAATGTAACGTAAAATTTTGTCTACTACCAACTTTAAAATCATTTGATGCCATTCTTGGCAACGATAGCCTTAAAGATCTAGAAGCAGTAATCGACGTAGCCAACAAAGTAATGACAATTAAAGGAGAAAAAAAGATACCAATAAAAGAAAAAAAATATGAAGCAGTCAACATAATCATACCCAGGACGGAACATTTAGACGACAGACAAAAAGTAGACCTTGACCAATTGGTCCAGAAATACCCTAATCTCTTTGCGGACCCAAACGAAAAATTAACATACGCTACGAATGTTGAAGCAGAAATAAGAACCTCTACTGCTTCGCCAATATATTCCAAATTCTATCAATATCCAATGTCCTTAAAAGATGAAGTGAATAGACAAATCCAAGCGCTGCTAGATAATGGTATTATTCGACCTTCACGGTCACCTTATAACTCACCAGTATGGATAGTTCCTAAGAAACCAGATGCATTCGATGAAAAGAAATTTCGAATGGTCATAGACTATCGAAAACTCAATAAAGCCACTATAGCAGACAAATACCCCATTCCTGAGATTAACGAGGTATTAGCCCAGCTCGGCAAGAATAAACTCTTTTCTGTCCTCGACCTTAAGAGCGGATTTCATCAAATCCAGCTAAAAACATCAGATATTTCAAAAACAGCCTTCTCCGTGAATAACGGAAAATATGAGTTTACACGACTCCCATTCGGATTAAAAAACGCACCATCCATTTTTCAGCGTGCGCTCGATGACATTCTCAGAGAACACATCGGGAAAATCTGCTACATTTATATCGATGACATCATAATTTTTAGTAAAAACAGGGAATCACATACAAAAAACCTTCAAACAATTTTCCAAACTCTGCAAGATGCCAATATGAAATGTCAATTGGACAAATGCGAGTTCTACAAAAACAAGGTTGAATTTTTAGGATTCGTTATTTCTGACAAAGGCATTGAAACAAACCCAAACAAAGTACTAGCAATAGCCAATTACCCACAGCCCAGAACTTTAAAGGATCTAAGAGCATTTTTGGGACTAGCAGACTACTATAAAAGCTTCATAAGGGATTTCGCTAAGTTAGCTTAGCCACTTAGCTCCCTTTTAAGAGGGGAAAATGGACGAGTGTCCAAAAACAATTCAAAGAAAACAAGTAAGAAAACTCTAGTCGAGAGTGCTCGACTAGATACTACCCTGAATTAAGAAAAATTAACATCAGTTGCATCGATCGGGATTCGAGCCGCGACTTCTCGATCAAGAGCCATGCAGCTAATACACCAGGCCACCCCACTCCTGCTGGTGGTGCTGGCAAAACTCAAATAAATTCACTGCTGCTACCAAAACTGAACGAAACTAACTGCTGATGTGATTCTAAGAATCTGCTAGAATAACCAAACTATTAAAAACGCACATAAAGTATGGTTAAAATTTCAATTTCGGTGTATTTAAAAATATAAATTAAATAGAAAACTCATTTATGAAAATATAATAATATTTTGAAACAATTAAAAAAAATTAACATCAGTTGCATCGATCGGGATTCGAACCGCGACTTCTCGAGCGAGAGTCATGCATCTAGTACACCAGGCCAGCCCACTCCTGCTGTCTAGAAGAAGTTTGAATGTATGTGTGCACACGCATACGATGCTGTTGTAGCTGCTGCACGTGCGTTTGTTAATTGGCCAAATATTTGATTATTTTTTATTAATTTTTGGCTGAACGGAATTTAATGAAACTTTCAGAATATGATCTACATATTATATTGAATATTTGAGAAATTTAAAAAAAAGAAAAATCATTCACAATTAGCTAAAGTGGCATCTGATTTGAACTTGAATGTTTTTACTCGATAAAAACATAACGGGATGATTTATCGAATTTTAAAAGCAAACTCGACGTCCGCGCTGTATATACGGTCATTTAAAAAAAAAAAATTCAAGTCTCTAGCTCTTATATCTTCGGAAATCGACGCGTTCAAACATACGGAAAGACGGACAGACAGACAGACGGACAGGGCCAAATTGACTCAGCTCGTCGCCCTGATCAAGAATATATATACTTTGTGGGGTCTGCCACGCCTCCTTCTGCCTGTTACATACATTTCAACAAATCCATTATACCCTGATTTCCCATTTTCAATGGGCTCAGGGTATAAAAATAATAAATATGAACCAAGACGCAATAGAAGCTGTCAACAAAATCAGGAATTCATTAGTGTCCGATGAAGTTATTCTTCAATTCCCTGATTTCAACAAAGAATTTCAACTAACAACAGATGCTTCCGATTTCGCCATAGGCGCAGTACTATCTCAAGGTGTCAGACCAATTTCCTTTCTCTCTAGAACGCTCTCCAAAGCAGAAGAAAATTACGCCACTAACCAGAAAGAAATGTTAGCCATAATTTGGGCATTAAAAGCCCTCAGAAACTACCTCTACGGTAGATGAAAAATTAAAATCTACACTGATCACCAACCCCTCACTTATTCGCTTAGCAGCTGGAATGGAAATTCCAGAGTAAAACAAGTAAGAAAGCTATAGTTGAGACTGATCGACTACGAGATCCCCTGAACCCTTGGAGCAATAGCTATTTCAATAATTTTTCGCGTCTTTCAGCTTACACAAGAAACACGCACACACACACACGCACGCACGCACAGACTGGCATACATACATACACACGCATACACACACACACACACAGACACAGACATACACAAACATTTACATATACAAGCATAAACACGCATGGGCTGCAGTGTGCGCTTACTATGAGAACTTAATTGTTTAATAACTTTTTTTTATGGACGTACGATCTTCATGAAACCTTCAGATTATGATAACAACATGGATATGCATGTATTTGCCAAAGCACAAGTCTCTAGTATTCGAAATACGCTTTTTACAAAAGTGAGGGTGAGGGGGTGGATATGGGGGTGGGGGGTATATTTTAACAAAAACCGAAATTGCATAAATTGCATATTAGTATACATAAAAAATTTGGAGACACTAGCAATAAAGGTGTAGGAGATAAAGTTTTATAACTGGTTTTCGATAAGGGTTTTTATCGATAAAAAAAATATCGGGATGAGTTATCGATTTTTAATGATAAACTTGATATGCGCGCTGTAATTACGGACATTTAAAAATCGACGTGTTCACACGAACGGACAGACGGACAGACGGACGGACGGACAGACGGACAGACAGACGGAGAGGGCCAAATCAACTCAGCTCGTCGCCCTGACGAGGGGTCTGCCACGCCTCCTTCTGCCTGTTACATACATTTCAACAAAACCATTATACCCTGATTTCCCATTGAAAATGGGTTCAGGGTATAAAAAGCAATTGAAACTTTAGCACAGTACACTGAAAATTAACTAAAACACAATAATCTATATCCCACTCTGCATCATGAAATAACCCAAACATTTACCACGCAATAACATCCTCATTAAATCATAGAAAGGCTAGATCTATAAATTGGATAGGATCAGCTTGGAAGTACGTGGCAGGAAACCCTGACCACGACGATTTAATAATGTTGACACAAAACTTTGATAAGTTAGTATCAAATAATAACCAACAAGTAATCATAAATAGGCAGTTAGAACAAAGAATCAACAAGTTAACTAAAATCTCAAACGATTTAACAAATTCCATCAAAAAGGGAAGCCTTTTTAGCGACGAAATAGCAATTAGCTTCCAAAATCAAATAAGACTGATAAAGGAAGAAATTATTAATATCAGACACGCCATTCAGTGGGCAAGGTTAAACATCATTAATTCTGTAATCCTGAGTCAAGAAGAGTTAATTTTAATAAACAACATGTTTCACGATCAAAATTTGACCCAACTCTCAGTCGAGGAAATGCTCGAATTCTCTAATGTATCTATCCTACATAACGGCACAACACTTGTTTACTTTGTAAAAATACCTTTGTTAGAAAAACAAGATTTTCAGCATATAATAATTAAACCCGTTGTAAGAAACAATAGAATTATTCATTTAAGCAGTAATGACTTCTTTATTGGAGAAAGTCTAATCTATGAGATATCAGAGAAATGTAAAACATTTAATAATATTATAATATGTCATAAAAATAAAATTGTTAATTTAAGTAATACTGATTCTCTACCAAAACTAGTGAAGGGTATTAGGGCGCACTGCAATTTTAGCAACGCTGAACATCTGGAAAAAATAGAGGAAATCGACGACGGGCTAATCTTGCTTAACGACTTCGGCGGTAATGTGACCTGGAATGGAACCACGGAATTTATCAGAGGGACTTACCTCTTCCGATTCCATAATGAATCCGTTAAGATCGGCGCTCAGCAGCTCGACAGCGTCGAATCAACCATCCTTAGGCCCGAAGTGCCTATAATACAGATGACTCCAGAAGAGGTCGAGCGGGTGAAGGTGCTTTCGTTGCAGTCTCTGGAAGCGCTGCACATCAACAACATTGGGCAACTAAGGAACTTAAACATCAGAGCCTATACCAACACAATCGCGTTGATTTCTCTGTTCCTGATTGCTATCTTCATCATCACCATCCTCTGCAAGTTGAGAAAAGAAAGGAAGAACATTACTTTACAAGTCAGCCAAATTCCACTGCAGGTTACCTCAGAAGGAAAAGGAGCATCATCCATCTCCGCTCCAACGTAGACATCCGCAAGAAGACCACCGCAATTCCCAATCAACGACGTCCCTTACTTTAAAAAAAAATGATAACAAAGAAAGGCCTACTTGGGGACAAGTCGGATTCAGAGAGGGAAGAGTTAACAACAAAATTGTTGCACAATTTTCCGTCGCGGTCAACAACCGGCACACTTGCCCAAAAACGCCTAATCAGCAGTCTGCTATTCTGCAGCCTGCAATTCTTAGGAATCCAGCCGTCGCCGGATGCGAGCAACGTTGCAGCCGTCACCAGCAGCGCTGCCGCTGCCTACTCAAATTCTAGCTAGCTAGGGTAGCATTGTCTTAAGAATTATTCAGTCCGATTTTTGAAATAAACAGATTCACACGTAAAATAAATATTCGCTTATTTTTTTTAACTTATGTATGTACATACATACATACATACACGGGCCAAATAGACCCATTTTAAAGGGTGCATCTGTTAGATGTCATAAAACTCATGCAATTAACAAGTAAGAAAGCTCTAGTCGAGACTGCTCGACTACGAGATCCCCTGAACCCTTGGAGCAATAGATATTTCAATACTTTTTCGCGACTTTCAGCTTACACAAGAAACACGCACACACACACACACGCACGTACGCAAACACAGGCATACATACACACACACGCATACAGACACACATACACACACACACGCATACATACACAAACGCATACACACACACACATACACACACACATACACAAACACATACACACACAAGCAACCATGCATAAACACGCATGGGCTGCAGTGTGCGCTTACTATGAGAACTTAATTGTTTAATAACTTTTTTTATGGACGTACGATCTTCATGAAACTTTTAGATTATGATTATAACATGAATATGCATGTAATTGCCAAAGCACAAGTCTCTAGTATTTGAAATACGCTTTTTACAAAAGTGAGGGTGAGGGGGTGAATTTAGAGGTGGGGGGTAAATTTTAACAAAAACCGAAATTGTATAAATTGCATATAAGCATACATTAAAAATTTGGAGACTCTAGCAATAAAGGTGTAGAAGATATAATTTTATAACTGGGTTTCGATAAGGGTTTTTATCGATAAAAAAATATCGAGATGAGTTATCGATTTTTAATGATAAACTTGATATGCGCGCTGTAATTACGGACATTTAAAAAAAATTTGAAGTCTCTAGCTCTTATATCTTCTGAAATCGACGCGTTCATACATACGGACAGACGGACAGACGGACAGACGGACAGACAGACGGACAGGGCCAAATCAACTCAGCTCGTCACCCTGATCAAGAATATATATACTTTGTGGGGTCTGCCACGCCTCCTTCTCCCTGTTACATACATTTCAACAAAACCATTATACCCTGATTTCCCATTGAAAATGGGTTCAGGGTATAAAAACAAGTAAGAAAGCTATAGTCGAGACTGCTCGACTACGAGATCCCCTGAACCCTTGGAGCAATAGATATTTCAATAATTTTTCGCGTCTTTCAGCTTACACAAGAAACACACACACACACACAGGCATACATACACACACACGCATACAGACACACACACACACATACACAAACACAAACACATACACAAACACATACACACACAAGCACCCACGAATAAACACGCATGGGCTGCAGTGTGCGCTTACTATGAGAACTTAATTGTTTAATAACTTTTTTTATGGACATACGATCTTCATGAAACTTTCAGATTATGATTAAAACATGGATATGCATGTATTTGCTAAAGCTAAAGTCTCTAGTATTTGAAATACGCCTTTTACAAATGTGATGGTGAGGGGGTGGATATAGGGGTAGGGGGTAAATTTTAATAAAAACCGAAATTGTATAAATTGCATATAAGCATACATAAAAAATTTGGAGACACTAGCAATAAAGGTGTAGGAGATATAATTTTATAACTGGTTTTCGATAAGGTTTTTTATTGATAAAAAAAAGATCGGGATGAGTTATCGATTTTTAATGATAAACTTGATATCCGCGCTGTAATTACGGACATTTAAAAAAATTTGAAGTCTCTAGCTCTTATATCTTCTGAAATCGACGCGTTCATACATACGGAATATATATACTTTGTGGGGTCTGCCACGCCTCCTTCTGCCTGCTACATACATTTCAACAAAAACCATTATACCCTGATTTCCCATTGAAAATGGATTCAGGGTATAAATACCTATAAAAGTAATGGGAAGTGCACTTGTTGCTTTAGTTAGTAAGCTACTTAAATGTAAGCGCGCCTCTTCAAATAAAACCCAAAATCGTTCACACCATTCTAAGTTGAGGGAGGCACACGTCAATGCTCATGTAGCATGCATACACACATTAACATACACAAACATACGCACATACATATAAAGGTACTCAAATGCTTCTACAATGATTACCCCATCATTTGTGAGCATCGCGGCCCCCTACGTACACACATTCAAACATATGTTTGTAAGTGTGAGCAGTTCACAAGATCGACCTAATGCAAATGCTGGGCTTTAAAATTGCTACAGGCAGCAAGAGCCTCGCACACAGGCATACAAATGCTCATAGTACATGTAGCAAGGGAGAGTGTGTGTGCATGCTCGTCGTGAAAAGTTTTTCATTATGCGCACCAACGTTTTCATACCCTTCCCACAAATAATAACGAAAACGCAAACATTCTGCACGAGCATGGCAAACGGCTTGAAAAGTTCGGAATACTCTTCACTCAAAAGGGAAGGCATAGGTTCTTGCTGCGACGAAATTTCAATTTTCGTGAGCTGCTGCTTGTGCTCACATGCAAACATACATATACACATTCGAGAGAGCAGAGAGCATCGAGAGAGAGAGCAAGGGAAACATTGAGCATAGAGGGATCTTTTGTTCAACATTTGACCATCACGGTCGAGCGCATGAAGCGAAATGATTGTGCGTTCGTATATTTTCGTAGCTCGAACCTAAAAGTAAAGAGCCGAGCGAATCCAAAGCTGTCTGGGGTGTTAAAGCCTCAGAAAAAGCGTGCAAAAAGCTTTCCACTAGTTGACTAGTCTATGTGTTCTCTGGTTAGTGATATAAGTCTACATTTAAAATTAAATAACTAGCTTTCGCTAGGGTTTTTAATCGATAGTAAAATATCGGGAGTTTTTCAATTTATTTCACTTTTTGTTATAACAGTAACCAGAGAACACATAGACTAGACATCTAGAATAAATTTTTTCAACGACGAAAAATGCGCTGAGGAGACTACACAACTTCGTATTTGCTCGGCTCAGTCTCTTGAAGCTCGAACAGTGAAATATTGCACGACAAAATCAGTGTGCTGCAAGCGCTTTCGATAAAGTTTTTAATCGATAGTAAAATATCGGGAGTTTTTCAATTTATTTCACTCTTTGTTATAACACTAACCAGAGAACACATAGACTAGACATCTAGAACAAATTTTTCAACGAAGAAAAAATGCGCTGAGGAGACTACACAACTTTGTATTTGCTCGGCTCAGTCTCTTGAGGCTCGAACAGTGAAATATTGCACGACAAACGAAATGGTGCCATTTTTATATGAAGCACGGCTATGCGCTGTTTGTCCTACTCTCTCTCCCACTCTAACTCTCTCTATGGTCTCTCGAATAGCAGCAGCGCACAGAAATTGAAAATTTTTCGCGACGATCCCAGTATTCCTTTTGAGTGAAGGGTATACCGAAATCATAAAAGCGTTTGTCACGCTCATGCAAACAAAATGTAAGCGTTTCGATGGTTATTCGTGGGAAGGGTATGAAAGCGTTGATATGCATAAAGAATATGATTTCGCGAGGGGCAAGCACACACACACTTGCAGTCTCTGGAAACATGTGTGAGCATTTGTGGCCTGTGTGCGTAACTTTTGCTGCCTGAGCAAATTGTAATGTTCAAAATTGACCGTTCATTGGCCTTTGAGGGAGCACATACATATGTGTATGTATGTATGAGATGGGATGATAATTGTCTGGCGATTCAGTAGTTTGTCAATTTTGTATAGTTTGAATTGTAGAGGGACTGCCAAATGAGCCTTTATGACTTAATCAGTAATTTTGGCAATAAAGATCATTTTGCCGCTGGTTGGTTGGTCTTACGGACTGCCATATCCACTCCACGCAGATGTATATGTACATATTTACGTACATTTATATACTATTATATCTAATCATGTTTATAAATGCGTGTATTGATAAAAACTATTATAGTACATAATAATAAAACTTCATTTTGATATATTTAAGAAAATTTTCGACAAGAAGCCATTCATAGCAAAAATTAAAGAAACAAGACAGAACGTTGCAGTCGGGCGTTACCGACTGCGGAATACTCATTCACATCAACAATTTAGTAGTTAAGTTTCGCCCTAGTACTGTAGAAATACAGTTATTCCGATTTGCGATTTATATAAACAAACTAGTGCCGGAACAAACAAAAACTAAAATGGCAGTAAGTGAAGAAAATCTGAAAGCGCTGCTTGAGTATGCAGTAAACAGTGCATTAGAAAATCAAGCGCAAGTATTTGAAAGGAAAATGGAGGAAATGAGAAACGAGTTTAGAAACGCAAGAGTGTCCGTACCCAAGGTTGAAGTGTTTAAAGATGCGGAAATTATTGTAGGTATTAAATGTGACGAAACACTGGAAATAGTAAAATCAGTACCAGACTTATAGGGAAAAATCGAGACTTATGTTTCGTGGCGGAAAGCCGCACACACTGCATATAAAATCTTTGAAAATTATGTAGGAAGCTCAAAGCATTATCAGGCACTGGGTATAATTAGGAATAAAATCAAAGGCCCTGCTGATATGGTACTGTCTTCATACGACACTCCACTGAATTTTAAAGCAATTATCAATAGGCTTGACTTTACATACGCCGATATACGCCCCATTTATATAATCGAGCAAGAGTTGTCCGTTCTACCCTGACAATAACCAAATATTATGAGGAAATTGAAAAGAAATTAACATTACTCATAAACAAAACAATTATGACTTACAA